TTCTACAAACAATAATTGCTGGAGAGGGTGTAGAGCAAAGAGAACCCTCCTATACAGATGCTGGGAATGGAAATTGGGAGCAGCCACTGTGGAGGACCGGGCAAGTTCCTTAGCCTCTCATGAAAAGGAGAATGAAATCAGAATGCTCCCTAACACCATACACAAAAATAAACTCCAAACAGATTAAAGATCTAAATAAAAGGACAGATACTATGAAACTCTTAAGGAAAAGAGCACACGCCTTGACTTAAAATGCAAGCTCTTTTTTGACCCATCTTATAGAATCATGAAAATAAAACAAAAATAAACAGGACCTAATAAACATTAGAAGCATCAGCACAGCAAAGGAAACCATCACTGAAAGAAGAAGACAACCCTTGGAATGGAAAAAAATTCTTGCAAAGATACCTACAGGGAATTTCTCTTCAACACATACAGTCCACTAGTACAGCTCAATATCAAAAAAAAAGCAAACAACCCAATAAAAAATCAGCCAAAGAATAAATGCACATTTCTCCATAGAGATGGCCATAAAGCACATGAAACGATGCTCAGCATCACTAGTTCTTAGAGAAAGGCAAATCAAATGTATAATGGCATATCACCTCACATCAATCAGAATGGCCACATCAAAAGCCCTACAACAATAAAGTCTGCAGAGGGTGTGGAGAAAAGAGAACCCTCCTACACTGTGTGGGGAATGTAAGTCAGTACACCCACTAGGGACAACATTATGGAGGTTCTTAAAAACCTAAACACAATGTACCCAGTGATCCAGCAATCCCATACCTAGGCAAAGATCCAGAGAAAACCAAAATTTAAAGACACCTGCACCCAACAATCATGGCAGCAGTAGGCACAATAACCAAGACATGGAAGCAACTTAAACATACAAGGACAGATGAATGAAGACAGAAAATGGGGTACATGGGCACAATGCAAGATTATTCATACATAAAGAAGGATGAAATAATCCCATTTCCAGTTACCAGAAAGAAACTAGAGATAATCATACTAAGTGTAGTGAGATAGAGAAAGACAAGTATAGGATATTACTTCCTGTGGAATCTAAACAGGGATATAAATAAACTTCTTTACAAAAGAGAAATAGTCTCATAGACTTAGAATAGAAACTCAGTTCAGCTCAGTTCAGTCACTCAGTCGTGTCCGACTCTTTGCGACCCCATGAACTACAGCACGCCAGACCTCCCTGTCCATCACCAACTCCCGGAGTTCACCCAAACCCATGTCCATCAAGTCAGTGATGCCATCCAACCATCTCATCCTCTGTCGTCCCCTTCTCCTCCTGCCCTCAATCTTCCCCAGCATCAGGGTCTTCTCCAATGAGTCAGTTCTTCGCATCAGGTGGCCAAAATATTGGAGTTTCAGCTTCAAAATCAGTTCTACCAGTGAACACCCAGGACTGATCTCCTTTAGGATGGACTGGTTGGATCTCCTTGCAGTCCAAGGGACTCTCAAGAGTCATCTCCAACAACACAGTTCAAAAGCATCAATTCTTCAGCACTCAGCTTTCTTTATAGTCCAACTCTCACATCTGTACATGACCACTGGAAAAACCATAGCCTGACTAGACAGACCTTTGTTGACAAAGTAATGTCTCTGCTTTTTAATATGCTATCTAGGTTGATCATAACCTTCCTTCCAAGAAGTAAATTTCTTTTAATTTCATGGCTGCAATCACCATCTGCAGTGATTTTGGAGCCCAGAAAAATAAAGTCAGCCACTGTTTTCACTGTTTCCCCATCTATTTGCCATAAAGTGATGGGACCGGATGCCATGATCTTAGTTTTCTGAATGTTGAGCTTTAAGCCAACTTTTTCACTCTCCTCTTTCACTTTCATCAAGAGGCTCTTTAGTTCTTCACTTTCTGCCATAAGGGCGGTGTCATCTACATATCTGAGGTTATTGATATTTCTATCAGAAATCTTGATTCCAGCTTGTGCTTCCTCCAGCCCAGCGTTTCTCATGATGTACTCTGCATATAAGTTAAATAAGCAGGGTGACAATAAACAGCCTTGACGTACTCCTTAACAGAAACTCACGGTTACCAAAAAAGAAAGCTGGAGGGACAGGGAGTAATTAGCTGGTTCAGATCACCTTAAAACAGATGCTAAAGGGATCGTAATAGTCACAAGTCCAAGAGGGCTGTAAATGACACCTGCCTTCAAGAAATGTCCTGGGGTAAATCATCGGGAAAAAATTCCAAACAGGGTCAACTTTCAAGAAGCCAGACTGAAGAGGTCAACTGTTCTCACAAGATATAAGAGTAATAATAAAAACAATAATAAAAGCACAAGGAAAGATAGTCCACATCAGTAATTATTAAGTCAATACCAAACAAAACTATGAGGTACCATCTCACTGGCCACAGTGGTCATCATCGAAAAGACCTACAAAGAATAATTACTGCAGAGAACATACAGAGAATAAAATCCTTCCACAGTCATGGTGGGAATGTAAATGGTGAAGCCATGATGGAAAACAGCATGGAGTTTCCTTGAAACACTAAATGTAGAGGTATCGTATGATCCTGCAATCCCATTCCTTGGCTTAGGTCCAGAGAAAATCACCATTCAAAATGACACGTGCACCTTGATTTTCAGGGCAGCACTGTTATAATAGCCAAGACACAGTGTCGGGAGCCACAGGGGTGCGCCCAAACCGTGACAAGTTCACGGGACAAGAAAGGAATCTGCAAGGCAGCTCTTCCCCTCGAGGTTGTCCCGTGGGCCCGGTATGTCCCTTTCTTCTTTCTGTCTTACTGTTGTTGGGCTTCCTATTAATTTTTGGAAATATAATATATAGTAATAAGGCCTCCCTGGAAAAGTCCAAGCCTTTTTGGAAATGCTCATGATTGCTTTGGCTCAGGACATGACCATAAACATCAAGTCAGAAAAGAAAAGGCCACAGGTATAGTTTGGCTGCTTGCTTAAAAGATTATAATGTTCTAGAATAGAAAAGAGATTTAGAAGTAGATATACTGCTTCAGTTTACTTGCTCCTTGTTTGAGAGGGTTTTCATTATTGCTATTTCCTTGCTGCTATTTGTTCATTGTTTCCCTTTCTTTAAACAACATGGAAGATTATGGGTATTTTTGTAGAGTTAGAAAATGGGGTACATAGGATTTCAATAGAAGGTTTATATTAACCAGCTTCACTGCCATTATCTCACTATTAATAGAGGTGTTTTACTGCTTTAGAGGTGTTTTTGCTGTTTAATAGTTAACCATTGTAAATTGAGATTTTGTGGTTTCAGGTAAAGAAAGATATCAGGTTTTTCTCATGGTACTATTTTCAGAAATGTCAAACATGTTACTGTGACCCTTCCCATGTATTGTTTTATTGTCCAAAGAATTTACACTGTACCTGAGATTTGTAGGACATTGTTTTTGTTAGAGTGAAAATGTTAGGCCATTGAGGCAAGAAGACTATGTACAGGACATTTAAGAATAAACCCTGTAATCGGAAACTTTCTAGATGAATGCATAGGGGAAAAACATGGGAAAAAATATTGATAGAAGCACGAAACCAATATCTGATGTAATATGTGGTGACTTAAGGGGGAGGTAACGTTCATTCTATAAAAACTGAGCTATCCTAAAAATTAAAAAAAGCTACCTCTTCTAGGCAACCTTCTGTGTGTGTCTGTTTGTCTTCTTCCTCACCGACACCACTCATCCCTTGGGTATTCCTGGTCCTGCCGAGGCTGGACCTCGGCAAGACAGAATCCATCAAAATGTCCATTGACAGAAAAATGAAGACTACGTGGTGCATCTATACACTGGAATGCTACTCAGCCATAAAACAGAATGAAATAGTGATACTGGCGGCAGCTTTGATATACCAAGAAATTATCATTTGACAAATACTTTTCAGAGAGAAAAGGACAAATATCCTAAGATATCATGTTCAGGTGGAATCTATAAGTTCACATCAATGAACTAATTTACAAAATAGAAAGACTCACAGACTGAGAAAATCAAATTATGATTGTCAAAGGAAAATTAGAAGGGACAGATAAATTAAGAGTTTGGGATGAAAATATATACACTAATATATATCAAGCTGATAATGAAAAAGGACCTACTGAATAGAACTGGGGACTCTACTGAACAAAGAAAAAATATACATCTGTGTATAATTGAATCAAGTTCATGTACACCTAAAACAAACAAAACATTGGAAATCAACTCTACCCCAATATAAAATAACAATAAATTACAAATTAAATTACACAAACTCGATCTAGAGGAAATCAGACAGTGGTGACCCTATGAATTAGATAATGACATGCTATGACATTAATACGACACCACCAAAGGTTTTCTTTCACTCAACAGAACACAGAGCAGCAACTCACTCAAAGGTGCCTGACCTCATGTGAATGCAACTACATGAAGAGAAGGAAAAGGACCGCCGGATAATCAGGGCAACACCCGCAACTCAGATGTTGGAAATCTCAGAGACGCACTGAGGTAAAGAGCACATATGGGGGCTCCGGGTACAGGGTCCAGACCCATGTGGATGGGGTGAGACCCACACAATCCCCAGACTCTGCACCTGGGGTCACACATCCAGTCTCCAGGGTGACACCCCCAGATCCTTCACCTAGGGTCACATGTCCACAGTCTCCAGGGTGACTCACCTCCCAGACCCTACACCTGAGGTCATATGTCCAGTCTCCGGTGTGACCCCACCTCCCAGACTTGTACCTGGGGTCACAAGCCCACAGTCTCCAGGGTGACCCCACCTCCCAGACCCTGCACCTGGGCAAGACCCTTGGTTAGGACCCCAGGCCTCTGCTGGTTGGGCCGCTATGGTGGAAATGAGAGCTCCTGTGACCTCCTGGTTCGGTAGATGGAAGAGCTGGGTCAGTCTCCTTCCCCCACACTTGTCCCAGGGAAGTCCTCCCCTTTTCCCTTCAGTTCTCTGTAATGGTAATTGTTTTTACAGCTGCCACGATAATGTTGAACACACTACCTTGGTGCTGGCAGCCTTGGTCTTTTGTTGTCCCACGGAGGGGCTGTGAAACACACCAGACGCTGGGCTGGAAGACGAGGGGCAGGCCCGGTCTCTGCTGAGGACGGACGGTCTACAGCAGGGACAGCGCAGCAGCACCTCACCTGCTGCCATTGCTTTTCGCCTGATCCACGGGCCCTGCAATCAACTGCCCAGGAAAACCTGCTCTCTTCTTGTCATGCTTGTGCTGGTGAATTGGAATAACTACCAAGCAGCTCACCTGAGGAGTCTCCAGGAGCCCCAGGGATGGGGAACCTCACAGGAGTAAAGAGGGAATAGGCGCAGGCCTGTATAAAATGATACTGAAAAGCATTAATTCCTAAACACAAGTGAAGCTCACATGTATTCTTCCCTTTTTCTTAGTTTTGTGTGTATGGTCTCCCTTTGCACGTGATTTTGACCCATGCAGATGGGGTGGGACACAGACCCCAGATACTCACCCCCAACCTGGGGTCATATGTTCCCTTGGTCAGGACACCATGGCTGTGGTTGGCAGGCCCTCAATGTGTAAACAAGCCAGGTCCATATAGTAAGCTGTGGTTTTTCCAGTAGTCCTGTATGGAGAGGTGGACCTGTATGTGAGAGCTGGACCATAAAGAAGTCTGAGCACCAAAGAACTGATGCTTTCAAACTATGGTGCTGGAGAAGACTTTTGAGCGACTTTGGACAGCAAGGAGATTAAACAAGTCAATCCTAAAGGAAATCAACTGTGAATATTCATTGGAAGGACTGATGCTGAAGCTGAAGCTCCAATACTTTGGCCACCTGATGGGAAAAGCTGACTCATTAGAAAAGACCCTGATGCTGGGGAACATTGAAGGCAGGCAGAGAAGGGGACACAGAGAATGAGATGGCTGGATGGCATCACCAATGCAACAGTCATGAGTTTGAGCAAACACCAGGAGATAGTGGAGGCCAGGGAAGCTTAGTGTGCTGCAGTCCATGGGATCACATAGAGTTAGACATGACTCAGAGACCGAACAACCAGGTAGCCTGAGGTGTCTCGATGAACCCCAGGGAAGGTGAATTTGTAGGAGGGAAAGACTAAGAGCCCTACCTCCACACTGACCCCTGGGAGGGCCATGGAACCCCACTCAGAGAACAGCACAATTACCCAGAGAAATCCACCTCAGCTCCAGACCCCAGACATCTGAGCACTGACATTCAGACACAAGCATGGAGTTTTCCAGGACAGAGGCCAGGCCGGGTCTCTACCCAGGTCTCCATGTCCTACTGCACAGAAAACCGGTCAGGTATAAATGTTCTCATTGTAGAAGCACACAGTCTCATCTAAACATAATCCGTGTAGACAGGACTTAGAGAGATCTGAATCTACCATGTAGATTCAAAGTAGCTGAGGGCTGCCCTCCCAGGAGGCACAGGTCACACACCTGGGGTGTCTCCTCTTTGGACAGGGGGCTCACCCACCTGAACCTTTCTTGAAGAAGAAATCATCACTGGGCTCCACACTTCACCCACATCACCAAACGGAATAAAAGCTGTGTCACTAAACATTTCAGCGGGCAAAACAAAACCGTGACCAGGCTCTGGCCACATGCCCAGGGCAGAGCCAGGAACCTCGTGGAGCGCTGCGCCGTGTTCTGCAAGGACAGACCGGAAGTGGCCCGGCTGCAGCGTCCCAGGCTTCCAGCAGGAGGCGCTGTCCCAGACGCCCAGGAAGTACAGTCCTGCAGGGTCGGGCGGGGAGAGCGGGTCCGTCCATCCTGATGGTTAGTTATGGGTGGAGCGCGCGCAGGTCCTGCTTCCTCGCAAGGTAGGGGGAAGGGTGGGCTGACGCCTCCTAGGTTCCGGGTCTGGGCATCGTGCTGCATCCAAGTGGGAATGTGGGCAGAGGTGGGGCATAGATGCCATCAGAGCAGAGAACCCACGGGGAGCTCCCACCTGTGCCTGCCTGCCCACCTCTGGCCCCAAGCCCCCAGCCCGTGACCCACTACCAGCCCTCCCCCCACTCCCCACACACATATGTGCTGCGCACCTACACACACTGTGCACATGAATAGCACATGTCTGCAAACAGGTGCATGCACACACATTGCACACACATGGGAATAAAATGAATACCCTAAAGCGTTCATTCCTAAACACATGTGGAGCTCACATACGTTCTTCCCTCCTGAGCTTTGATGGATTTCAAAACAAAAAAGTTTATAAAGTAGTTAATGGTGAATGACTTTTGGATCATGGGACTTTCTGAATTTATTCCACAAATATTACAAGACATGAGTGATGAATGTAGATATTTCATGTGTCCCTCAACAGAAGAATAGACAAGAAGACCGTGGTCCATCCACACAATGAATGTTGTCCAGTCTGAAAGGAGGACAGTTCTGACACAGACTACAGGTGGATGAAGCCTGAGGGCATTATGCTCAGTGACATTAGCCAGACACAGAATCCAGTTTCTGTGATTTAAATTTGTATAGTCCTGCTTCTACAAGATTACATTTCTTGGATTTTGCATTTGTTTCCAACACCTCCACCACCTCTTGCTGCATTTTTATTCTCTTCTCTGATTTTTGCTTCTCAGTATATTTTAGGATCTTTTGTATATAGGAAGAACCTGAAAAAGAATAGATATGCATTTAGGCATGACTGAATTAAGTTCCTGTATGCTTTATACAAACACAACATTGGAAATCAACTCTATTTCAATATAAGATCAAAATGAAGTTGCACAGAAAGAAAAAGAAAGAGGGGGGCATGAAAAAATGCTGCCGCCTTGTGGCCATTTACCATACCAACAAGATGGAAATCTGCACTGATGGGCACTTAACATTCATAAGACTCCTGAGGTTGCGAGTAAACAACACCTGCCTTCAAGGAATGTTCTAGGAGTGTTCATTAAAGCACAGGGCAAACGTTCAAGAGTCAATTGCAAGATGTTTCACGCATACCCTTTAAAAAAAATCACAGGAAATGATGTCAACATTCCTAAATATTAGAGAAATCCAAAACTACAATGAGGTATCACCTCACACCAGTCAGAATAGCCATTGTCACATACCCTACAAAGAAACAAAACTGGAAAGGGTATGGAGAAATGAGAACCCTCCATCGATGCTGGAATGTCAATGGGGAACAGCCTCTATGGAGACAGTGTGCGTGCATGCTAAGTCACTTCAGTCGCGTCCGACTCTTTTTGACCCTGTGGACTGTAACCTGCCAAACTCCTCTGTCCATGGGATTCTGCAGTCAAGAATACTGGAGTGAGTTCCCATGCCCTCCTCCAGGGGATCTTCCCCACTCAGGGATCAAACCCACATCTCTTATGTTTCCTGCATTGGAAGCTAGGTTCTTTGCCACTAGCACCACCTGGGAAGCCCACGGAGACAGTGTGCAGGTTCTTTAAACAATGAAAATGGGAACAAAATTGCAATATTCCTGTGGGATTAAAAAATATTCACAACCTAAAAGTTGATAATTATGTTGTATTTGGTGGGAATTTGGGGGACTTCAAGCCCAGGAGACACCATCTCAAGTAACCCTGAGAGAACTGCTCCAAGGAGGTAAGGGGAAGAGCCAGGTTACACAGAACTTTGTAACAAAGGGCAGGTAGTCCAAATGTGGAAAGATTATTGTTAAAGAAAACCAGATATCCTAGGTCAAGGAATTTAGCACTTCTTTATGTAAGGGAAGATGCAAGAGTCGGGCTCACTGAAGTCATTCCTTTCATATGCACCTCACCTATCTGGGGCCAGCATCCTGAGCTTCCTTTCCTCGGGGCTCACCTTAGGGAGTGGCTGCAGCCTGCTGGCTGCTAGAGAGCAGATATTCTTCTCCTTCCTGAGTTCCCTGAGGGCTCACTGGTTTACACTGGAGGGCTGTGATTGCTGATGACTGTGACATCCTTTGGCATTACCTGAAAGATGATGCTGTGAAAGTGCTGCACTCAATATGCCAGCAAATTTGGAAAACTCAGCAGTGGCCACAAGACTGGAAAAGGTCAGTTTTCATTCCAATCCCAAAGAAAGGCAATGCCAAAGAATGTTCAAACTACCTCACAACTGCACTCATCTCACACACTAGCAAAGTAATGCTCAAAACACTCCAAGCAAGGCTTCAACAGTACGTGAACCAAGAACTTCCAGATGTTCAAGCTAGATGTAGAAAAGGCAGAGGAACCAGAGATTAAATTGCCAACATCCGCTGGATCATAGAAAAAGCTAGAGAATTCCAAAAAAACATCTACTTCTGCTTTCTTGACTACACCAAAGCCTTTGATTGTGTGGATCACAACAAACTGGAAAGTTCTTCAAGAGATGGGAATCCCAGACCACCTGACCTGCCTCCTGAGAAATCTCTATGCAGGTCAAGAAGCAACAGTTAGAACCGGATACACAACAACAGACTGGTTCCAAATTGGGAAAGGAGTACGTCAAGGCTGTATATTGTCACTCTGTTTATTTAACTTCTATGCAGAGTACATCATGAAAAATGCTGGATGAAGCACAAGCTGGAATCAAGGTTTCCAGAAAAAGTATCAATAACCTCAGATACGCAGATGATACCACCCTTATGGCAGAAAACGAAGAACTGAAGAGCCTCTTGATGAAAGTGAAAGAGAAGAGTGAAAAAGCTGGCTTAAAACTCAACACTCAAAAAACTAAGATCATGGCATCTGGTCCCATCACTTCATGGCAAATAGATGGGGCAACAATGGAAACAGTGACAGATTTTATTTTCTTGGGCTCAAAAATCACTGCAGATGGTGACTGCAGCCATGAAATTAAAAGACACTTGCTACTTGGGAGAAAAGTTATGACCAACCTAGACAGCATATTAAAAAGCAGAGACATTACTTTGCCAACAAATTTCCATCAAGTCAAAGCTATGGTTTTTCCAGCATGTATGGATGTGAGAGTTGGACCATAAAGAAAGTTGAGCACCGAAGAACTTATGCTTTTGAACTGTGGTATTGGAGAATACTCTTGAGAGTCCCTTGGACTGCAAGGAGATCCAACCAGTCAACACTAAAGGAAATCAGTCCTGAATATTCATTGGAAGGACTGATGCTGAAGTTAAAGCTCCAATACTTTGGCCACCTGATGCAAAGAACTGACTTACTGGAAAAGACCCTGATGTTGGGCAAGACT